ATATATATTACAAATACATTTAATATTATATTTTATATTCCGCTAGAGCAATTGTATAATTAAACTACCGCGCGACTTACGTCTAATATTTTGAACAATATACATTTATTATATATGTATTACTATTACGTAAATATTCGTTTCCGAAGACAATTGCTTTACAATGAAATTAGTTTCTGAGAACATTTGTGCAGTGTAAAGTTTTAACGCGGTTCTTCAAGTTAAAATATGTGCAATTACGAGAATATTGTGAAGTATTATCGTGAGAAAAGTAAAGAAATCCAAAAAGAAAGGACACAGCAACTCGTGTATTGCAACATGACACGGATACTGTTCTTTTTTGTTATAAATATAAAAATTATTATTTATAATGAATAAGTACTCTTCCTCATTATTACTTTGTTATTACTTACGTGAAGGAAAAACTTATAAGATTTACATAAAATAACTATGTTCAATAAACTTGTATGTTAAAATTTGAAGAATATTAATTGCTCAACATGGAGAAAAACTCATCTTTGCAATAGTAACTGATAAGAAAACGCACGAACGTATATAATATAATATATCTTTTTTACATTATGAACGGTATATCGATTTTTCTCCTTTTTCTTTTTTTTTACAAGAAGGCACTTTTCCTTCCGCACGTTATCGTACGTGTTTTCCGTGAGCTCTCTCATGCACATGTGGTACAATATAGTAGAATCTCGGCTCTTTTGGCTTTGTTAATGCTTAGTATTATATCTAAGTGTTTAATATTACATCTATATAATGAATAAGAATGATGTACAATTTATATAGGATTCAAAAGCAGTATCAAAAATACCGTTTATATATCGGTATTTTTCGGTTTTAATTAATATTCACACATTACAAACATATTTTGAACCGTTATAATATTACTATCAAAGAAACTTTCCCAATATATCATTTTTAATTTAGCTCAACGGTGCACATATATGCTACTAAAACAAGAACTAATTTAACTAAAGTTTTGCATAAAATTAAAAAAATAAAAAGTATTAATTTTTAAAAGTAAAAAATTAAAAAATTTCTAGTTTTTTCTGTCTGCAATTATGGTAAATTATTAATCTTGCGTAACTTACTCAAATTTCTAATTTAAGCAGTAATTTAAATATTGAAATAGTAAATTTTCGTTAAAAAGTAATGTCAAATTTATTACATCGGCTCGAAAGAGTTAATCGTAACGTTTTATTACATCAGTATTTGTAGCTTTGTAAATACAAGGGTACAAGAGATTGAAGGTAAGTTATGAGCAATTGTACTGATAAATACAAGATTTAGTACACGTACATTAAAGCAAAATCTGAAGAAATAACGAAAATTTGTAACATTATTAGACGAAAAATATAAATCAATATTGCATGCCAATTTAATCAACAAGCAACAAAATAACACACAACAATTTCATACTTTGCTTTGAACTATCTTTATAGTCTCGCAATAGTGTATCTAAAAATATCATTTTTTTTTTATAAATACATAAGGATACAAATATTAAAATTATTTATTAATCCGGGTTTTCTATCCAAATAGTAGAATTTTAATGAATACCAAAAATTATAAAATAATCCTTAATAATCATAGGTTTATAACTACGGATTATCATCAAGCTGCAATACGATTGAAATAACGAATATAAAGCAAATACGTTTAATACAGCATTAATACTCTCGAAAACATCTGATGATAAAAGCTAATGATGCAACATCAAAGAAACTTCAAGTCCTACAAAAATCTAAATCTAAATTTACGATATATTGTTATACAAAGTAATTATTTAAAAACACTAGAACTAAAATATAATTTACCTACAAATGCGATTAAACTATTAAAAACAAACAAAGTGTATGCAGTTTATAGTTTTAGTTACAGTTTATAGTTTTAAGTTTTAACTTGTACTAGCTTCTGATATAAGGCAAGTATGTAACAAATATTCGATTAAAATATAGCTCGCTTATTCTATGATCATGTCGTGTGTGATGTAACAAGGTGTGATGTAAAAAATAAATAATACTATTGTTGCGACTGATTGTCATATAAAGGAAGATGAAAATAAAAATGCACATTTCCGAATGAGCGGTACAATTCGTGAAAAAAGTCCGCTCAAATCTAGAAGAGAACACATCTCAAATATTACTAAAACAATAATTATGGGAGCAGTATTTTAAAAATCAGTAATCTTTAAACTTATGGGTCACACGAACAATCTCTGTTAATTAGTTTCTTATAATTCTGTAGCTCTTCTCGTCTTTCTTACTTTCCTTCTTTCTTTTCTTTTCTTTTTTTCTTTTTTTCTTTTTTTTTTATCTTAGTAAACGCACACTTTCGTCGATCACTGCACATGTTTGTTGATAATCTTACTGTAGTAATTGGAACTATTAAAAAGACACAATTTAATCCGGAAGTTGTCAGATGCAAAATTTCTACAACTTGAAAAAAAAATATTTTTAAAACACCCTGTATTCAACTTTGACTCGCCTTTTGCTACTCAAACAAATCTGCATCATTTGCTTAAAAGTTATTTTAAACTATTGCGCTTTGCTCGTAAGAATTTATTTTTTAATATTAATCATTATATTTGCATGTTAATCGTTAATTGAATATTGTGGCTCTACAAATGAATTGGTAGGATCTAAGGATTTCTCGTAGTATTTTAGTAGAAACGTTTTTAGTCAAATACTCAATACAAACAAAATTTATTTTTATTGCAAATTACGAAGATGGATCTTTAAGAAGGAAATATAATACATGAACTGTGAAGAACGTCATGAAAAATAAACGATACAATTTGTCGTAACTTATTTATCATGTGGGATCTACCCCGGGACCCTGTCCAGTTCAAATAGATGCAACGGAAATAGATGCTGATTTAGAAACGAGATGTGTCGAATTGTATGTGTGTGTGCTTCGTAATGAAATACTTGACTACAAAACTTATTCTACAATATAATAGGAGTTTCGATAATCGACGATACAATTGGGAAAAATGTGACTGCTAGTCACGGGATAAGCTCTGGCTATAACTCTGGCAAAAGACGAGCGTATTTGTATCATCGATTATGTCAAACGCTCGCGCGCGCTTTGCTGCGTAGAAATATTTTACTATACAAATAAATTTAATGCTACGCGTTGTTTATTCTATGGCTTTCTGCATGTTTGTTTTTGCTTTGACATTGGCTCGCGGACAATGTATAGTCGCTGAAAAACCATTACGATATACATTGGTTGCTTAAGCTGCTAGACCTGCGTCTTTAGCCATGCTGTAGAAAGAGCTAGATGGATTGCGAAGTAACGCTTCCGGAGAATCATATTCAACAATCAAACCTTTATCCAATACGATCACCCTGAAATATTTGGTTTTAAAATAATTTATAACAAGAATATTGCGATAATTGCAGTAAAATTGTGAAATTTTCCATAGAATAAGACAATCGTTATAAAACTCGAAAGCAACGAGTTGAAATAGCTTGTTGAAACATACCTGTCTGAATCCAAAATAGTGTTAAGTCTGTGGGCTATCGTGAGAACTGTACAATCCTTAAATTCTTGGCGGATGGTAGTCTGTATTAAGTCATCCGTTTCTAAATCGACCGCGGCCGTCGCCTCATCCAATATGAGAACTTTGGTTTTCCTGAGTAACGCTCTCGCTAAGCAGATCAATTGTCGTTGTCCTATGCTTAAATTCTCTCCACCTTCAGCAACCTCGTGTAAAAGAGTATTTGGCAAATCTGAAACGATAGAAATAGATCATATTTCTTGAAAATCTAATTCTAGAAGATTCTAGAAGATCGCGAAATTAGAAAACCATACTTTTGACAAATGATTTTAGATGAGCGTGCTCTAGCGCTCTCCAAATTTCATCATCAGAATGACAATCGAAAGGATCCAGATTTATCCTCAGCGTTCCGGAAAACAAAACGGGATCTTGCGGGATAATGGTCAGTTTCGAGCGCAGATCGTGGAGACCCAGTTTGGAGATGTCAATATCGTCAATAAAGATCTTCCCGTGAGCTGCCTCGATTATCCTGAAGAGCGCGAGAGTCAAGGATGATTTTCCAGCGCCGGTTCTACCTACTATGCCGATCTTCTCGCCGCCGAGAACGCTGAACGACAGACCATGCAGCACGAGATCTAGCCCCTCCCTGTAACGAACTTTAAAGTCCTTGAAATCAACACGGCCGTGCACAGGCCACTCTTTCGGAGGTGTGTACTCTGTGTTCTTCCATGGTGCTTCTTGCGTGGTTTCTCCATACTCTTTATTCTCTCCACCGCAACAATATTAGTCTCAACATCGGATGTCATGCGTACCAGCCAGTTTAGAGTTTGAGTGATCTGCGTAACAGATATAGCGCGTGAATTAGACCGGTCTCGGCGGCTAAACTTGGCGCGAGACACGATCGTGATATTATTCGTTTCTTGATATTATTCTTTCACAAAATATAATGCCACTGAAATTTATAGCAGCCTTGCAAACAATTTTGATACTTCCACTCAGCATTTATCACAATATTTTATGATTACAAGTGCGTAGAACAGAAACCGTCTTATTGCATGCAATAAGATCCTAAAGTATCATTATATTGTAAATCACTAATTATTATACAACATCTTACCTGTAAGGCGTAGCTGACCGACAGACCAACGAGTCCAGAACTCATAGTATGTTTACCTAAAACAGCGAACAATGCTGCAAAGAATATAATTAAATTTCCAACCATCTCCAATCTCACGGCCAGCCATCTGCGAAATATTCATTTCTGTTAATAATTGCACATAGAAAAATACAATAACATTATTTTACAACAACATATATATATATATATATATACCTGTTTGCAATAATACTAGGATAATAGCACACTTGATTGAAATCTACTCTATTTTCAGATTCCTGGATAAATTGTTGCTGTACACCATACGCTCTAATTATTTGTGAACCTAAGTAATAAATAAATTACTTTTAATCTTTAAGACAAAAATTTCGGTTAATAACGATGATTGTAGGGTGTGTGAACGTACCAGTCACAGATTCACCAAAATGCGAATATATAGGAGACCTTGATACAGATTCTAATCGCTTTAATTGGCGCGATGATGCAACGTAAAAACGTTGAATAAAATAGTAAACCGCGCCTATTGGCAGTATCACCGCGATAAATACAGGTGTACTGTAGCTTATGACAACGAGAGTAGCTATGACCTGCAATGCATACAGCCGTTAATAACGATGAAAGTGATTTCACTCTTGATCGCTTCTCTTAAAATGTAAATATTTGTGTGTGTAAAATGTGTGTTCATACTATCATCTTGTGTAACACAAATTAATCAGAGCAGGAAAAAGACACCTGCGTTGAAAACATGTGATATGATAGCATCACAAAATTGGGCAAATCTGTATTGTAAAAAAATATACAAATATATAAATAAAATGATCGACGAACATGCAAAAACTTTATGGACGAAACACTCTTTTTTTTCCGGATAGCAGCTGTTTATATAAAAAAGGACAAACTAACAAAGTTGTTTCATAGGCCCACCAAAATGTACCATGAATATGATTATCGCTATGCATTAGGCAAATACATATATAAGCGTTAGCGTAGAGATGTTACACAATTCTTTTCAGTCGTGACTGATATTGGTAGTTTTCTGGGTTTTTTTTTTTCCCCCTTTCTTTCAATATCTTTTTACTCTGGCACAGACAGAGTAATTAATTCATCGACTGCAATTGTTCTATAGGAGAAAGGACACAATTATATTTGATGATAAACTCTAAAAGAGTATATTTAATCAACATGTATCTTGAAATTTCTCACCAGTTTGCAAAACTATTGAAATTATCCATTTAAACATTCAATGTACAATACATTTAAACCATCTTTTAACAAACGCAAATTATACCTTTGGACAAGACATTTGACCGCAGCCTAAACGTGCGAAAAGTTCTCTGCATAGTGGAAGATGAAAAGGTAATGCGCATGGAACTTGATAGAGCCGAGAAGATACGGGGAAAAAATGATAAGAGTCCCAACCGCTAATTCTCTGCGCATTGCGAAAAAAATTACCTCGAACAAGCAATAGATGGTATCAGAAATTTGTGGAGGAAGAGATGTATCCAGTATGTCCACGTCTTTAGCAAACCTGGAGATAATACGACCAATAGGAGTCGTATCAAAGAAGGTCAATGGAGCACGCATCACAGCACGCAGCATCATTATGTGCATCTGGCGAGCAGCCAACCAACAGCCCAGCTGCGGTGCCAAATCGCAGAAAAAGCTCGCCATCGCTACAACATCAGACATGGATGACTTTCATGGTAACCGCACTTGATACAATTTTCACAATTTGTGAAACAACAAGTCGATAATTAACCGACATTAATTAACCAAAACTTATTCCATAAGCGGATCTACATGTTAGACAAAGCGTGTGTTACGCGCAAGATTAACTTTTCCTCTTTTCGCGATATATACGAGTTAATATAATATAATTACTTAATTGCAAAGTTGCGAAAACATTTATCTTTCTTCTGCAGTATAGCTCGATATGCAAATTTGCAATACGAACTTAAATTACCGTTCTTGTCTCATGTTATGCGAAGGTGTGAAGTTTGCTGTGACATACTAAACAGGACATAGATAACATCAGGGGAAAAAAAACAAATAAATTACATATTTCCAGAAGGCAGAACCATAATTAGGAAGATGTTATACAAGCAAATATAGAATATAAGCATTATCAAGCACAAGCAAGACCATCTCATGTACACGAATATTACTGGTATAATTGTGTCCATTCCCTGAATGATTACTACACTATGGTTGCACTATAATTACAATAATTGCAACAACAATATAGTAATTGTAAAAATCAGTCGTGATACAAATTAATACTCAAATAACAATTGAAACAATATTAATATGGATATATAAAATAAACTCAATGGAAATACAAAACAATTATGAACGATGTAAGAATGATAATAATTTGACAGAGCAGAGCTCCATTTCCGGCGGTATATTAAGCAATGTATGAAAAATCAAACCGATTATTATATAATTCTCGTCTCAACTGTGCGCCAACAGTAAACGAAAATGAACATTATCAACGATAGCGTGAAAAAGGCGAAGGAGATCAGGATACCTGATCTCGCCATAAAATCATTTGCACAGTGCAATCAACGCTCGACCAATGAGTTTTACGATATTAGTGCGATTAAGTGGCGTGATATATAAAATCCGACAAGACCATCCATATTTCCTAAATAATAAATCACATCATGTTCATAAAAAATTCTCCCAACGATGTTCTGCTCCAGATCTACACACTTGAAAAAATGAACATCACATTAATAGAAATGTATCTTATGACGAATCTCGAATTTCCTCTCCTATATTTTTACTATTGTCTTGCCGTCTCTCCTAAAATTTCAAACTTTATTAGATTTATTAAAATTAATGTATTTTTAAAAGTTTTCGACATGGAAAAGTGGAATCTAAATTCGCGACAGAATATACATTGCTACTATAGAGCCGCATCTTTTCAAGCGTCGTAACGTGCAGAATAAGTCCATCAAATACGACTTTATAAAAAAAATTTTTTTTTTAAATAAATAAAAAAGTGGTTATGTTAAATTTACTTCACCCTTTCGAATAATCTTGATATAAAATTAATGTTATATATAAATGCTATATAAATAATATAAAATCATGTAAAAAAATAATATAAAATTACATAAATTCTATTATACTGATATAAATAATGCTATCAGTATAATAGAAAGTGAGAGAAACACTTGATGCAAATTGCAGATACTTGAACACAAGTTTAACAATACGTGATTAAACTGAAAAAAGAAAAAGGGTGATATTAATCTGTAGCAAATATCGTTCGGCAAGTAGGAGAAACGTAATATCAATCCATAAACAACTGTCACAAAGATCATTACTTATGCAGTAGTGTGTAGTTATATGAGAATACTATACCGAAAAGAGGCAAGTGATCCAAGAACGCAGAATAACCGGTAGAATATTGTCAACAACATCAATGTCTTTACCAAGCCGACTAAGAATTCGACCAGTCGGAGTTTTGTCAAAGAATGACATTGGGTTGTGAAGAACGTGTTGCAGCGTACTCTCGAAGATACGTCTAGAAGCGATTACTGTCCCTCTAGCCAGGAATAGCGCCATTGCGAGTACTGTCACGCCTACAACGATCGATGATCAACTTTGATTTATCGGGTTAAATGACAGTTACATATCAGGAGTTACATATTCGTCCGCGATATTATATCATCGAATACCGTGTGTTTTCTAGTGATTAGAGTGAGATATAAAAACTCTATAATCGGCAATGTTCATTTTCATTAGTTGCTCATCACCTGTCTAACGCCTTATGCAAGTTCCTCACTGCAGTCACACATGAATTGAGGTGTATATAATTAAAAACGCAATAAATAAATATAAATAAAATAAATGTAAGTATATATAAAAATAAAACACAAGTAATGTATGATAATAATAAAAGAAAAAATCCCAAGAGGGATCAAAAAAAGGGAGGGGGGAAAAAAAGAAAAAAGGGGACACATAACGTTCAACACATGCAATTACACCGACTTATTAATTCGTTAATAATGCGCTCCTAAAGTGGCCGTCTACTGATCACTAATAAATATTAATGAAGACTAGACTGCAAAAAGACTATTGTGGAGATCTTTTTTGACTCGTGAATATTAATTAATCATATTTGTACCGATTGGTGGACCGATTTTATCTGTTTCTGTGTGCGCTAAGTAGTGATCGGTTTTGTGTGCGCTAAACATCAAACCACATAAATGTGTGAATCGTGAGAGATGCACACAAAGATTTAAAACTACCGCATACCGATGCTAGACAAAACAACCAAGCCCTAATACTTGGAGGTAAAACGTTGTCTATTATGTCAATGTCCTTCCCAAAACGGTTTAATATTCTGCCGGACGGTGTTGTGTCAAAGAATCCTAAAGGCGATCGCAGCATAGCGAATAATAATTCCGAATGCAGTAGTTTACTGCTCCGCAGACAGCCGACAACCATTGCTGTCTGTGACAGCATTACAAAAGTGGCTGAAATTTAATTTATAATGAATAAATGCAACTTTCTGTAGTATCGAAACAAAAATTTTTTTAATCGCTAACAGTTCTATAAAAAAAAAACACTATTTTTGCATTTTGAATCCGGTTCTGCTAATAATTAATTTGTTAATGCACACAGTTATATATTGTTAAAAAGTTGAAAAATACTGCATTTATATAAAGCACACAAAAGTAAAGTATTTCGTTATTTCGTTATTTCGTTTAGTAAATGAGCAATTTAGTTATACTAACATAGCTGACATTAATTAGCGCTAACATGTGTTAATGATAAAACGAAAAGCAAATCTCGCTAGATTTTCCAACTTAAGATGGATAAATTTGTGATACGTGGTACATTTGAGATACTACGAGACTCGTATTTTCATCGTATTAATCACAAAGATTTGATTTTTTCAAATTTGGCTCGATACAAAATTTATGTGCAATAAGAAATCACGCGCATTTAGATATAAATATATGAATGAGAAGATATAGACGAACCAAATGCAAGTGACGTCATATTCAGCGCTTAAATATAGCTGATGAAACTGACTGCGCGCAAAATCTATAGACTATATTTTAATACAAAGACCTTTTTTAATCACGCGTAAAGATCTTTTTTTAATCGCGCTAATTTAAAGTGTTGTTCATTAAAATTGATTTTAAAAAATTACCGAAAACACACGAAATGTATCTCAAATCTCCCTCCATCCAAAGCCTGGTTAAATTTTCCTAAATTAACAAGTGTCTGTGTTGTTATGCTGCTCATTGCTAGTCTCAACCAGCCTAATTTACACGCAATTATCTGGCCAGGAAATCAGTGCAAAACTTTTATCTATTACTGTTTCATTTAAAAAATTTTTTTATAAATTTGACTCATGACATAATAATTTTAATAAAAAGTTTTTAGTATGCACACACATTGAAAAAAGTCATCCATTAATCAATATTATGCTGGCTGATTTCCCGTTTTTTATTTTAAGATAATATAATAACGCTAGGAAGCTTTCTTTTGTTTCTCTACTTCATGCTCACATTAGAAAAAAGACATTACAGCAACTTATAAAAAGAAAATTATTTGTATTTCTTTCATTTCTGTAGTAAACTCTAAATATAAAGCAGTAGATGTCATAGCCTGCAGTCTATCCGACTGATTTGAGGCGGAGCCGATAAAAGACTCTAGGAAAATTTTTGACAGACACACCACAGAATTTTACGATCACAGAATTACGATTACAGGAATGTTATATATATACAAAAATACATTTCACAACATTCATTGACTCTCAACAGGCATCGCAGTCCGTCAACAATTTTCCCACACAACTTTTTATCCATAATCATTAAATATAAATTTGTTTCTCGCGTAAAAAGATTATTATTATCATACAGAAGATTAATAAATTATCTAACAAAAAATATAAATGAAAGGCATTTCAAACGGAAAGATTTTCCATGCAATAATAAAGAAGCCATCATTTGTAGAAAATTATTACTACGATACTTGCAGTCAAAAAACATATGGCTACTAAGAAGTTTCAATTTCAAATTGCCTTTCGAGTACTTAATCAGTACGTTAGTGTTCTGTAGACACAGCAAACCACACTTACTTTGGTTTCTCTTGTAAAGAAATTATTTGACTCGCTTTTAAATTTAAACATATAACGCGCGATACATTCGCGAAAGTAACTCGTAACATGGTTCGAAACGAAAGGAGTCACATTAATTGTTAGTAATTAAATTAATCACGATTTCTAATTAATTAATTCGGCTCAGTAGAGTTTTAGATATGAAAGAACTACATTAAGAATAGTTACCCCAATGATGTGTAATCTGTGAGGGAACATGCCTTTCGAATTAATATATGTTATGACGAGCAAAAATAAGTGTCATTGCCTGTTAACGTTATATTAACAAATTGCCTTCTGTGACAGAAGTGAATATGTATATCTGTACAAGTACACGTAACAGAGATAAGCTTACCTGATACTGAATTAGCCTTTGCAAACGCGAAATTTTAAACAATATTAATCGGATCTACCTGCCAAATGGATAAGATGTTGCAAGGATCAACGTACTCTAAAAAAACATACCTTGACCGAGACCGAGCGCGCCGTATACTCCAAGGTACATATCTCGTTTCGCCGTATCAACCGTGTTATTCACGATGGTCAGATTGTCATTCGACCAAACACTGAGCCAAACGCTTGAGCCGATGCTGAACGATTGAAAGACTGCGTTCATCACAATCGTCGATATTGACAAAAACCATCCAATAGATTTCAAATAGTGAGAATACACTTGCCATTTTACCTAGTGGAAAAATAATGCGATAACTTTACAAAAGAAGTTAATTATTTAAGATATATATTGTGTGTGTATATATATATAAAATTCTTTTTTTTTTTAATTGACAGCAATGTAACTTACACTTCCGGTTTCGGTCTTTTCGACTTCTATCAATTTTTCTCCGATATTGTTAGGTTTTGATATTTCTTTTTCCTTTATGCTATTACTACGCGCATAATTCACCGACTGTTGACTTTCAGTTGAATATTGCCTGCTCATACACAACGTATATTGTTATCCAATTAGATATCGCATACATTTAATCATATTTATGAGAAATTTTACCTTGTCAGAGAACCATTAAGCGATTTTCTATCAGTTATAGAACCAGACTCACTTAGACTCTCAGATACTCTGGCTCGAGTTAACTTTTGTTGCAACTCATCTGCTCCCATTGTCGATTCAAGTTGCTGTTTAATTTCACGTAAATCTGCTTCGGAACCCTCATCAACGTGCACTGTTTCAAATTCGTCATTTTTATCTTAGAATAATGATAAGCGTCTATTTATAAAATGTATCGATATTATGTAAAATGGGAAGAAATCCAACAAGTTGCATGCATATCTGTCTAAATTAAAACTCGGAAGAAAATTTAATTTATAAATAATCGAGTTAATATGTAAAATAGATTTATTCAAAAGAGAGCAGAAATTCCAACATTTCCACTAATAACTCAAAAAACTTTCAATGTAAAAATAGGAGAACAATATTTGATTAAAAAATATTTTGATTAACAGTGCATGCATTAAAAAATGTTAATATTAGTAACTGGTCATTAATTGTAAATATATAATGCTTATTATTGTTCCGCCGGCAAAGAAAATTGCGCAAAACAAAGAAATGGCCAAAGGACTAGTCATCTGATAAAACATTTCGTCGATAGCAATCTACTTCCAAAGCAAACACGATAACAAGAGTATTTCTTATGCAAATATACAAAGTATATAGGAAAAGGAATTGTAATTACTTTTTCGCGGACTTACGATTTCCAACTTAGATCCATGAAAAAAATGTAACAATCAATTTTATAATAAGTATGATTAGAAATACGCTACGAGTAAAATTATAAATAGATACCTTCTTGTAAATGTTGCACTAAGAATTCGGCGAAAGCACCCTTTTTCTCCAGCAGCTGCTTGTAAGTGCCATTTTCCGTGATCTCACCGTCTTTAAGAACAATAATGTTATCGACCTCCGGCAGATACGTGATGCCATGCGTGACGAGTATTCTCGTTTTCTTCTTCAATATGCCGTTCGGACCTATCACGTTCTCAAAAATGTGTTTCCCTACATGCGAATCCACCGCGCTCAACGGATCGTCTAAGAAATAATTTTCCGAGTCGTTATATACAGCTCTAGCTAAGGCTACTCTTTGCTTTTGACCGCCAGACAAGTTTATGCCTTTCTCTCCGATTTCCGTCTGATCTCCAGCGGGTAGTATCTTGAGATCCGGACTCAATGCACACGCGTCAATCACACGATTGTACACCGACTTGTTCAAGGCCTTTCCGAATAAGACGTTCTCCTGCAACGTGGCGTTTTGTATCCATGCCTGCTGCGAGACGTATGCAATTGAGCCCTGCAAGAATATTTAGAATTTATCTCCAAATTTCCAATCCATAACTTATTTATTTAACTAGAGAGTTATAGAAGCGAATTAACAATTAGAAATTTTTTGTATTCTATTTCACATTATCTCTAGATGAAAGTACGTAATATAATATCACAATATATTCGTCATTTGTAATTTATTTCTGACAAAAAATTACAAAATAAAAAATAACAAAATGAGGAAAACTAGGCAAGTCTGCACACATAAAATTTTTTTTCCTACAATTCTTGTGAGAAAAACGCAAGTTTCGTTTTTATATTTTGTTATTTCCAATCCGAAGTAGAAGAATACTTACTTTTGTGTTCACTTTTCCACTTAATTTATCCATCTCGCCGAGCAGAGCAGATAGAAGAGAGCTCTTGCCTGATCCCACTGTACCAACTATTGCTATTAATTGACCTTGTTCTACATGGAAATTGATATTTCGTAGTATTGGTCTCTCAATGTGTTCATTGTCCCAGCAGAAACTACCGTTCTCAATTACTAACGCGTGCGCTAAATCAATGTAATATACAGAGTGTTACATGTCATATATGTTACGCACAAACTATATCTTAATAGAAAAAGATTTACCTTCCGATGGATCATGCTGTACATTATTAGGATCCAACTCCTCCATATTCATAAATTTATTAATGCGTTTTACAGAGACGTAAGCCTAAAGATACACACGAATAACATTATTAATCGGAGATGAAACACTAATACAACTGTGAATAAACAAGCATTATTTAAACTCACTTGAACTATATTACCAATCATCATAGGCAGCATGGAGAGTGGAAATCTTAAGATGTTGAACAAACTGAGCGAAACAAAGGCAGTTGTACTATCTAGAACGTTCTTTTCGTCTATAAGTACATAAGTGGTAAAGGATACCAGCGACACCTGCACATTTGTGAGTAAAGAAAATAATATTTAAAAAACAAATATATGTGAGAGAATGTATGTGATTAAATATCCTACAAAAATAATCAAAAATCTTAGAATTGTAATTTTTATATTAAATGATTTCTACGATTATACATAACAATGTAAGCTTCTTATTAACAATAAAAAAAATATTTGTGAGCGTATAAGACTTTTTCATTTCTAAGGTCTTCAATCATGATATACAGTTTATTTGTTTGAAAAAAAAACTCACCAAAAACGGTGCACACGACCATATAAAGCTCGTACCGGCATTCAGATATGCCGCTTCTTTCAAAACCTGAATTTCCTTAACTCTGATTTTAAGTATCTGTTGCTCGAACGAAGGTTCCCATGCGTAAAGCTTCAACACTTTGATACCATTAAGTACTTCGTTCATTAATTTCACTCTTTCGTCCTTGTTCTTCATCTGCCTGATTTGCAACGTCTTCACTTTGTTCGCAATTAACCCGTTCACGGGAATAAGAATGATCATAACTGCTAAGCCGGCGAGCACCGCCGGTCCTAATATCTCCCATAAAAAGTACAAAGCCAGGGCTATTTGTAGCGGAGCCGACCAAATCATGTTTATGTACGCAGTTAAGTCCATGAATCTTTGAGCGTCTACGGACATTAAGTTCACTATTTCGCCAAGCGTAGATTCCTTCCTGGCCGAGTTTGACATTCTCAATGCTTTACGGTAAATTGCCGCGATTAATGCAGTACGTATACGCAACCCGACTAAGAACATACGATGAAAATATTGAGATAGCACTAATGTTTGAAGCGTTGCTGTAAGTAGAAGTAATACGGAATAAAAGTATCCTTTCCACATTGGCTCATCTCCCTCGATGAAACCAATCAAAAGCCTAAAAAGTATAGAAAAAGAAACACGTTATGAAAATGTGTTTCAAACAAACAAACTATAAGAACAATCTCATCATTATATGTTTTGTTTAAGAAATTGTGATAAAATGAAATTAGATGTAAATTAGAATTTGTGTCGATCTACGTGTACTTACTTTAATATTTGTGGACTGATAAAGGTCATAATGTCTTGAACCAATTTCAGGAACGCACCAAACATAAAAGTAGCTCCGAAAGCTTTGCAGATGGGCGGTAGGATAGAGGCGATTTTCTTTTTTCGACCATTGTTAAAGTCCACTTGCCCGGACGCTTTTCGAAATGACGCTTTGGCACTTTCTACTCTATATTTATAAAAAACGTTTATTACTTATGTTTATATATTAGATTAAATATTAAAATAAAAAAGTATTCCAAAGACATTACACAAAACTTCCTACCTAAAATAAGTCCAAACCAGCCTTGTTAGCACAAGAAATGAATGATATGAATAGCTTGTTAAAAAGTACTTGTTGTCAGAAAGCATTTATTATATTTACGTTGATAAGATATTTCAAAACATAAGGTATGTGCAAAAAAAATAATAGGCTGTTAACCACATAGTTAATAGAATAATGTAATAATATATTTTAAAAATGTGACCACAAATTTATCGATTTAAAAGAAATATCTAAACTGATAAGTCTAGAACATGATTATTTACAGCAAACGTATTTTCTGAATCTGCAAGTTTTGTTTTTCAATAAAAATATACTTCCTGATGTCTCTTTACTTACAATTTAAAACAGAAAACATATTGGTTACATTAGTAAAAATACACCAAGTTTAGTTAAGTCATACAATATGACTCCTGCTGATTGCAGATACCTTCGTTTGTACGTACGAAGAGATCCGTCGATTGCACACTAAACTTACTCGTCTGTCTTTCTCAAGTTTTTGTTCCAATATTTGTCGAACTTTGGCACGATCTCCGTGGCCATGTCCTCTGGATTCATGGACCACAGATCGGATGTTTCGAGCGGTTTGCGGAAACCCTTCCACGCTAGTGAATCGAACCATGCGAAAAGAACTCTTGACGGGAAAGATGAGCTTTGCTCGGGACATGGCGATTCGACCTACGAGGAAACATACGCATCCCAAGATTATGCACAAATATCGAAAACTTGCAAATCTTACAGTTGACTCCAAGTTCTACACATGGATTTGTGGATTTTGCATAAATTAAACGACATGCATATCGGTAAAATCAATATGAGAAATATTACCGTTGGATATTCGGAGAATTTAGGCTCTGCATCAACCAAAAAATTAAGTACGAACATTATTATTACTATCGCATAGTAAATCATGTAGGACACCAATGGGTATGTTACTTCTGCCTAAAAATAAATTGTATTTTTTTTTATGAATCACATATTATTTCTGTAAACATAACGAGTCTTGTGAAATGTTAGAAGTGTAAGAAACCGATAACGCGAGATATTCTTGCGATAAGAAACATAAAAAAAAGAGTCTAAGAAATTTAACGTAAAAATATGTAGAAAATAATTGTTCGCTACAATCAAATTGCTTTTTGCTATTAATATTAATAGAAATGTAACGTACCTCTTCTCTGAATTCGTTTATACATCTTCTAAATTGAACACATCCACATAATGCAAGGAAAAACCAAAACAGGAATAAAAGACCTGACGTCCGCATTCCATGTTTTCTATTATATACCATTAAAGTACATGCTAATACCTGAAATAATTAGCAAATTTAAGTTAAACGTCATACAGATTAAACAGATACAATTGTTTTTCTTCTATTATAACAAATAAGTAATAGGATTTAATTTAAAAAAATTTAATAATAATAATAATGAAGAAATAAGAATACTGCCAAAAAATTGCTGAAAATAAATATTATATACAACAAATGATTGATTATATAATTAAATAAATAAATGTATAATATTAATAATGTAAAATCCTGTTGTACTTACAAAGCTAATAATTTTTATAAAGGGTGTATAATAATCAACATTGTAGACCGTACGATAAGTACTTTCGTGTATTGCCACTCCTAAATCAACTATGGAAAGTAAAATTAATCCTATTGTAAGTACTTGCTTAGAAATAAATAACCATGTGTATGGGACATTTCTCCTTTTGCTATTTAAAAGGTAATATGCTTCCATTGCGGAAAATACCCATAGAAATACACATGGTGTCCATATTAATATTGTTTTTTGGAAGCATTCTGTTAGATCTGGATCGTTCGTGTACCATGTTAGATTAGCATCCTAAAACAGTCAGAAAATTTTGACCCAAATATTAATTGCTCATGTAACATTTTAATAAATTTTTTTTTCGTTTTCCATATAAAAATATCATACAACTCGCAATCTTAATTTTAATAACAAATTCCTTTTAAAAATCGATTTTTCCCAGCGAAAAAAAATGTCAAAGCATCTATATTTTCCGAGTTATAAATATCAAAAAAGAAAAAGAGATTTTCGTAAAGTCAACTTTAACAATAAGAAAACAAATAACTTGTAAAGCTATATATTTTTAATTATTAATAAACTTTGTTTTAATAGTATTTTAATATATGGTTTAATAAAAAAAACAAATAGTTTTATAAATAAAAAAAAATGCATTAATTAATGATCTCCTTTGATGCTTTTGCTACAGAAAAATCGATTTTAAATTAATTAAAAGATCAGTCGTCAAGATTAAAGTTGTGTGTTGGAATATCTATATAAAGTAAGACCGATAAAGAGAGAGAGGTATCAGACGAAAATATTTCTTGTCAGAAACTGAACTATTTATCGTCTCGTGAAACTATTAGAAACAGCTTTAATCTAAATTAAATTAAATTAATTTAATCTAATTTAAATTAAAAAAAAATGTTTTCTTTCAAGTATTAAAACGTCAAATTTTTGCAGAAACTGCGAAAAATAAGACGTTCAGTTAAATTTTAGCTTGGAGAAAAATTGTTTCAGTTTCCAACAAGAAAAGGAGCACAGAACATCGACTGTATATATTTATAGATACATAAGCCTTGCGGTAATGTTTTGTAATTCTTTCTGTTATATCACAAAACTTTTAATGGTGGTGAAATCGATGAAAAATAAAGCAGCGGTGTTCCTTATCTTATATCATGGATAACAGAATTAATGCATAGCCAAAAATAATTTGCTTTAATCTTTTAGAAATTTCAAAAAGTTTGTCGTCATCCATATCAATATAATATAATAATTAGGCACTTCAACTGATATAAACGTTATAGATATATTCATTTGATTAAATGCTATAGACTATAGAATGAACAAAAAGAAGTGCCTTGATGATATAAGTCGATCCATTAGGTGTGTTCAGGAAATTAAATTATTGCACAACAGCCTGCCTCAAGCGAGTTAGCGAGTTGATTATTCAGTTGCTCCAACAATGTTATTCTTCAATTTTTCCTTTTATTATTTTTCTAATAACTTTTCAATTCCTATTTTCCTCCTTGAAATGTAAAATTTTTATAAACATTATTATTTTTGACTGCATTATTTTTGTGTGTAATATTCGAGAATAAAAAAATATAGTTGTGTTGTCTCTAGTCAATATTAGGAGCTTTCATTATCGACAGTTCTTATGACTAAACGACAAAATTGTTCGAAATAAACCATCTATTTTGAACCAACTATCTTGAATCGTTTTCATCTTACAAACTGTGTAACCGCGATAATCATCGAGATGTTTATTGTGTAAACATTTTAGAATAAAACATGCGTGCATTTAATACTGTTTGTCTTCAATCTCGCACATGACAAGATATGTGAAATATGAATATATAGGTCCCGATTGATAAGAGTTGTTTAACTGGAAGCGCAATATTTGCGCACGCGGCGCCTCGGTTACATTCCGTTCGTATACGCGCGCAAGATTTATTTTCCGTAATTACAACACAATATGGTTATGACATATCATGCAATCGAGAGAAATGATGATATTGCCTTTAATCGTCTTATCGAGCTTATTATCACGGCAGGTATGAGAAAAAGATGATTAGAAAACAAGACGACGTTAGAGACGTCGAATGATTCAAATGTCCCGGTCTTGCGTTGAAAGTGTCGCATACTAAACATCAAACTCGAAATAATTAACTTATAAAGCATAGTTCCGCGAGTTTTTCAGAGAAAAAAATGTTAATTCAAGTTCCTTAAAGCGACCCCCGTTACTCGCGATCGTCAGTAAATACAAAACAGCTGCGTTTAACCCGTATTTAACCCCCCAGTACACGCGAAGCAGAAGAATGCGAAGGGAAAGCGCGAAGGGTATGAAGCAAATAAAAAATGGCCTTAATTCGCTTACCCAAAACGTTGTGCCGCAGAACTGGTCCATCGTTTGATTCTCCATGCTGACACATTTAATCGGCTGATGAGTCTCTCCTACGATATCGTTTCACGAGTACACTGCACCGTACTCCACCGATCCGCCGAAGACCGATCTTTTTGTCCGGTCGCTCCGGTCGCTCTCTCGTCGTCTTCTCTCACGAGCTCACAAATTCACACTGCTACAACGCGAGCGAGGTACACATGGGGCACACACAGGACCGAAGTGGATCTATTACGAGCGATGTGCACACAAGTCACTCGATTCGGCTGCCGTCGTTCATTCCACTCACCGTCCGACAAAGTCCTCTGCAGGCTCCTATGAGTCCATCGCGGGACGACCTCGGAGCTACTACCGGACAAAGACGTCCTCAGCGGTCCGTTGTCGTTTGTCGTGTGATTGCGTGTGATCCACCGTCTTCGAGTGCGTCCGAGCATGTACCGAGTGAAAGTATCCGATATCGTCTGTCGTACACTCAATGCCGAAAATGCCGCGACGCATAAAAGCTCGCCACATATTTGAGACGCGCGCGAAATGTACGCGTCGATCTAGATATTCTATGCGTCATGATTGAGAAACTGTGACAATTGTTGACAATTCGGTATTTGTAAGCTTTTGATGCATCTAAAAGATGCAGCAAAGTCGGAAAAAGTAAACGATGAATAAAATTGAAAAATAATATCTTACAACGTGTTAAATTAATTTTAAAAAATCTGAGAGTGTATTTGGTTTTTTAATCAACAATCACGATGCATAAATATCTAGATGCGTTGCGTGCTGTCTTCATATGCTAAGGGTATATCCAGATAAACTTGCATATTTTTATGCAAGTTTGTATGGATATATCCTAAACATTTTTGGTACTGAGTGTACGAGACCACTGCATGATGCGAGATAATCGCGAAGCGGGAAAATTGTATTGCACAGATCGCACATAATCATTATTCGATCTTGACAAGCGTATTTCCTCGAAAGTATTGCAACATCAATGCAATGTTATTTTTGGATTACAAATGAAGAACTTTTTTGTAAAGTAAGCTGCAAACGGATTTCAGGTAAATAATAAAACTAATTTTTAGTTAAACTTAAATTTTACTTTTACAAAAATAGGACTTATTTATAAATTTTCAAAAATTAAAATTAAAGTTATTAAAAATATACTTTCTTTTAATTAGAAGAATATTAATTAAAATAAATGTGGTAAAATAAATAGTTATAAATACAGAAAATGGAAAATAACATTTTTAATATCTAAAAATTGGCGAACAAAATGTGTGAGTCATCGTATAACAGTAAAACAGACAGTTGCAGATGATAATTCCTGACTGAGATCATGGTCATCTTTGACTAAAGTTTCTTTCAGTGATAAGAAATGAATTGGCGAAAATAAGATAAAAATAAGATTCCTTGATTTAATTGCCGATGAAATTCAATTATTAATGTTCATGGTACGTTTAACTCTTTTCACAATAATAAACGTACATATGTACAATGTCATTTTTGATTTTGAATTTTTATTTATGTATAATAGACAGTTTTATATTTACAATTCATAGATATATCTATGAAAGTTTTACTTGCATATCATGTTTTATTTTTACGTAATGCATACGAATATAGTATTCGTGAAAATGATGACTATCAGAAAATACATTTATATAATGCTAAATGCGTGGCGTGAACAGAGACCTTGGAGAATCAGATGATTATATATCTTGGTAAACAGGCAACAACAGAATACGGATACGAATACGAATTTCTCACACGCACAGCGAGTGATCTCTTTCGACATACACACCATTGACATCGCCATCATTGTCGCAATTCTCATTTCTGAGAAATTCTTGCCGTTTGCGAAATACTTGAACGTGAATTTGATTGCGTGAGGTCGCCGTTAACTCGACAAACGTCGAACAAATTTACAGTCAAGTATTAGAACTGATAGGATTTTTACGAGGTCAATGTGATATCCAACGCTGCATAATTGTGGAAAAGAAAACATGAATGGTCGCAAATAAATGTGCGGTGCTATCCTCGTGCAGTCTAAACTACAAAGATAAAAAATTATATTAGCATACTAATTTTGCATTATAATTAATCAAAGATAATTATTCATTGATTTGGCATATGCAAGCATCTTTATCCTATTGTAAATTTATGTTAATGATATTGACATTGAACTGCTGTGATGTGTTGGGAATATGTGTCATCACCATCGATTCTTTCTGATAAGCGTAATCATATCGCGCTCTTGTTATGATTTAATATCGCAGAGCATACTTATCATTTAAAAAATATGCCGCATCATGTAACACAGATATCGATCATAAAGACATTCCTATTAATAATCACAATTGTACTAAGTATACGAAATTGCTACAAAAGACTGAAGATACGAAACGCATGCGCGCAATTAACCTTTCTTTTACAAAAACTCTAATATTATAACATTTTTATCTTTCTTTTATCAATATGTCTTTATGTTTTTTCTATCTTTTAGGCTTACGAGACTGTACAAAACATGATGAATAATCGTTATTATAATATGACAGTGACAGCAGAGTGATATAGCACTGTTTTTATTACAACAGCAAAAGAACGATGATTTGCATCAGTATGACTAATTTATGTTTTGTTGCGAACGCATTGGATATTTAGTCGGCGATTACAATCATACGAAATACTGAATTCAGACAATGGATTCGCGCAAAACGTGTACTATATAATGGTACATTGGTTTTAAACTAGAGATAATTATCTCAGCACTTAAGTGCTGAGTCACTATGTCAAACTTTTTGCCCATATTAATATTCTAAACTGTATAGACAAACTGTGCGCACGTGTGTGTATGTGTTTTACAAAACCACACACACACACACACACACACACACACACACACACACACACACACACACACACACACACACACACACAATATTCAACTTGGATAGAAATTCTTATGACAAGTGTTGCCAGCTTCGATATTAGTGTGCAATATGTATGTATAAATATTTTAAGAATGATAATTGATCCTATCATATTCTTAAATAATGATATTTAATTAAATGATACTTAATAAATAAACTAAAATAACCCATACAGCACAAAATATTCTATATATCCTTAGGACATCTTGGGGAGATCTCGATGTCCTCAAAACATCCTTGGGACACCGAAATATCCTCGATGTCCTGAGGATATCCTGAGGATGTTTTGTGCTGTATGGGAAGTAACGGTAATATAACCTTGAAGCTAAAACTATTAATAGAAATGTGAGTATTATAAAATTCCTTTTTTTTTAAATAAAAATTAATGTTATGCCATGATAAAAATATGATTGAAATATAATCGAGATTTGCAACGATAAAATCAGCGAGAAATGTCAAAAGAATTTAGACTGGTTATTCAAATTTAATATTGCTTTATATAAATCTAGATATATATTGAATACATAATTATAAAATGCATGAAACAGATAAGCATTGTATTAGTGATATAAATAACGAAACACACAAGCACAAAAAAATGTACGAGATAATTTATATGCCGTCAGTGTCGCGTCAGTGACTCGCCAACAGCGTGATATTGCTAAATAACTAGTTAAGCTTTGTTTCACATGATGTAATATTTACTTTTATAGAAGTAAGTTTTATTTAGGATGCCTAAAAGACTTTTATAGCAATCATTAAATACTCAATTGCTATATTACGTAATTAAAAAGATACACTCTATTTTTAAATATTATACAATAATTAAGGAATATTAATTTGAGAGATAATTTTATTCTTATGTAATGTCTTCCTGAAATTCTACACCTCAGCCTGGATTTCCACGAATAAATAAATGCTGCAAATATAAAATTATTCAGCGTGAAAAGTATTTTCTGCTTACTAATGCCACAATCAATCAAGTCCAGCATCGAATCGAGCCGTAAATTAAGATAAATGAGTCAACCGATCGGAGCTGGTTTTAGTGGAGCACTGAATAGACACGATTGATGGTTTTATCTGCACAAGCATAAAACTTTTGAAATATGACTACAATGAATATTATGAGTTAATTAAATTTTGTTACAGTAATATATGTAATATATTCCATTGTTATTTTCATCCAAAGATGTTTTATTCGCTATTTAGTTTATTTAAAAATAGTCCAGATTTTTAAATCAATAAAGCAAATTGACTGCTGATTAACTCATCAAGCATTTTTTATTGTGACAGAGTAAATTTACGGCTTCTATATGTACAAAGCAAATAGTCATGCAGATATTTCCAGTAATCATGTATATATTGAGTAAATTATTATTACATCCGACTGCGTAAGAAATAAAGGATTTGGGAATCGACCATCTATAGATGATTAATATTTAAAAAAATAATGCACTCAAAGAATTATGTGATATATATATAATGTGAGTATGAGAATATATATATATATATTGTCATATATAATAAATTAATCATAAATAATACATTTCACGATCTTATATATTAAAGTAGCTGTTAATTATGAGCAGTATAATGTATTTTACAGTGCTATCTACAATACTAATTTTACAAGTAACAAAATAATATTTAAAATACAAAATTTAATGCGCATATTAAAAATTATAATAAATATATTTTTCTAGAAAATTGATTCAGTTTTGTCACTTTTTTTTTAGTGACGCCTAAATTATAGGTTGTTAGCTAAATATAATTTGAAATATATTCTAAAAAAGTAATATATACAGAAGTCAACGAAAAACCTTTGATTAAAATTCTTCAATTGTTGAAAGGATTCTAATTTGTACCTCTGTGTTTTGTATAATGATGATAATGAGAGATGAAGTTGATACAAAGATTGCTAAAAACGATAGAATAGAAAATGTAAACTTTTCTCCATTTTATTTAAAGCATTTCAGTAAGACGGAGAAGCGATTATTGATAATGTAAACTTTTCTGATAATGTAAAGTTAATGTTTTATTTAATTAAAAATTTGTAATAAAAGTGAAAAGAGTAGCGAACGAAAAGTTAATTTACATTTTTCTATAATAAACATTATCTTTTGCTAGATAATAATTTTGCATTTAGAATGATTTGTGTAAATAATACAGAAATATAAGAACGATTTGTTCTGAATTCTTGAAGAATTAATTTTTGCAACAAAGATTAGGTTCGACTGTCCCGAACTGAAATTCGTATGAGACTTTTATAAAGTTCTATTACATTTAATAAGTTTGAGTGCTGCTGAACAAAAGTGTTAATAATTCTGGATCTGTTAAATTTCTTTTATATTTTTGTACCATCTCTTGGATTTTTAAACGTCTTCGTACGTGCGGTGGATGATAACTGAAACATAAATATTATACATATTATCTAGAATAGATAAACTCATAGAGACAATGCATAAAATTTTAATACAAATCTCTCTCTCTCTCTCTCTCTCTCTCCTATTTATGTTATTACCTGTCATTGTCGAGCCTTTTTCTACGTCCCATATTAAGAGCCGTTTGCCTAACCAGAGTCCCCAGGACTCTTCTTGACACTACCATACCGTCGATTAAAGGTGTTGCTAAATTGATTCTAGACACCGGTCCCTGTAATCTGACCCTCATCAATCCGTTAGCAAGGGCTTGAAGAAAGATAACTTGTACATCAGTAACTTGCAGCATCTTCGATTGTTCCAGCCCGGTATAAGTGGAAGGAAGCAGGTCGCCTAAACAACAAAAGGAAAGCACTTAGTTTGATACAAAGAAAAGTGTATAAAATAATATTGTTATAGTGAACGGACCAATTGGGAACTGAATATGATCTTCTAGACTCTCCAACCACACAACCATGATTTTTGTATTGGTTTGCGATGGTAGAGCTTGTTTTGTCGATCGTCTGGGTCTGATGGGATCTGCACTCGAGGAATTAGTTGGACCCGCATTCGACAAACTTGATGGCTGCTTCTCCAAATCGAGTGACATCGTTCTAGAAGTCTGCGCTGTGTTTTGTGTTGTGCTGCAGTTCCGAGTATCCGTGCTTTCACTGATACTTCGCTCAAACCATGCTGCAACAAAATATACAAGTTTAAAGAATTAATTATTGATTAAAATCATAGCAAATCATATAAGAGTAGATAATTTCTCGCACAAAAATGTTTTATTATAATAGTATATTTGTCTTAAAAATTTACCTTGTCCACTTGTACTGCTGATATCGCTGTTATAACTGCTCTCCTCCAGCGAATCTGAGCTGGCTATGAGATACGATTGCGTAGGCACAACAAATGCAATTTCCGAACTCACGTCCGCCCAATACATTACATGAGTATCACCGTTGTAGAGCGCACCGCCGTGATTACTGTGAGCTGGTTGTGGTACGTTCACTTGCGCCGTTGCTCTCCAGGAAGTGGACACATGACCCGTCCAGCCCGCATGAACGGATACAGAAACGGGCCAACCGAGAGAGCTTAAGAATTCCAAGAAGTTTGGTGATACATTTTCTTCGTGCAACTGTAAATGTAAAAATGGGAGCAAAAATTACTTTTCTCTGACTTTTTTCTCAATATATCGTAATGAATATATCATAATATCGTTTTTTTGAAAGGGAAAATTATAATATTAATAGACGAGAAAAATGATGGTTTAAAAAAATTTCATCATATTATGTCAAAATAGACAACATCTTACCACGTTTGATAATATTTCGGAGGCAGTTTTTTGACCTGCTTTTACGTAAAAAATATGAACGGTATCGCATGTTCGTGGACTGATACCGTCCAGTGTTTCTAAATCCATACAGAAACCGGGAATAGTCGGATCTAGAGCGATGAGCCCGCTGTTTCTAGATTCTTCGTTCTCCTTAGGTTCCATATTTAAGAAGCCGAAATGGCTCAGGAATAAACGAGCCGTTTGAAATTCGTGACAAACTTGGGGCGGTACACATTCGTCGGTTTTGTCTTCTGTATACTTCACATTACCATTATCGTATTTCGACTCGAGTGTTATTTGACGCTCTAAGAGCTGCGCCAGGATTTGATGTTCGTCTCGCACCGCTTCGTTATCGCTCATAACTGCCTCGAGACTTGGTATCGATTCATCCCTATAAATAAAGATATAAAGATTATGTGAAAGAAATACTTAAATTTTTTGGCGATTAATTCGGGCAATCATTTCGAATATCACGTATAATCAGAACTTTAGCATTTATATTTCAGAAATTTTATATCCAAGTTTACTCGAATTACTTGAATGATACATTTATCCCAATATTTAGAGTCTTAATTTAAATTTTATGATCAGAGTTCAGAATAGTTGCTCAAGTATGAGGCATCGTCGAAATCACAATGCTAGACATAATTACTTTTTTATCACATAGGCCTCGTTATAGATAAAAAGATAATACTCAATTTTCAATCTTTATTCACTCACCTCTATTGTCATTAATATTGTTTAGCATCCGCTTTAAATACATGTCATACATATAAGTATACAATCAAGTTTGAACTCTAGTTCACTTACACTTTACAGTGAGGGATGCGATCCACGTTATCCGGGAAAAATCTTGGCTTATAGTCCGTTCGCGGTGCAGCTTCAGCTAGCGGCAAGGGTCGTCCGGGGTTGTTGTTTATACTCCTAATGCTGGATCGATGACGTGGTAAATGACGGAGTTGCATCGTCCACGCGTGTCTACCGAACGGTCCGCGGATCAAGACGGTCACGGTCGGTTGAGGATCTTGATCATTTCCTAGAGGCTCCTCCAGCAGAGCTAACACAATCGCGTTCTCGGAGACGAAGTAACGAAATCTTTCGACAGCTGCTTGTCGCGCCACGCGTCCGCCGGTCCAACTGTTACAGTGTCGAAGCAGTGATACTTCGTCCAATAGTGATGAGAGCGATTGCGCTCCGCAGGCGCTCGGAAAATAGCCAACCTGTGGAGAAAAATATAATCTCATGTTAGAAGAGTGTGTGTTGATAAAAATTATAGAAATCTTTCACAAAGATTTATTGATATCATTGTAAATCCATCAAAACAGAAATTCTAATTTTTGTAAATTTTTTTGCTAAAATTAGTTCGTTGCCGCGCATTTATATATAAATAAATGCGTGCACACGCGTACGCACGCGCGTTCTGCGTTTTATACTTTGTACAAACCTGTTCCAACAGAATAGTAAGAAGCGCATCAGCAGCGTCTCTTACACGCATAGATGCAGGTTTTAATTCCTTCTCGTCCTTCATTTTAATGGGTTCTCCCGGTTTCCCGACACTCTTAGTGCCCGATACTCCAAGCTCGACAACTTCCAATACCGTAGTCAAACAGTCCTTATCCTACAAAAGAATAGAAAGTAGATGTAGAATATCAAAAAAATTTTGCAAAAAATATCTGAAAAAATTATCAACCTGTAGCAACTGCGGATGAGCAGTTAACCAAGTTGTTAAACAATTGAACGCTGCAACGATAGAAGAATGGAGATCCTTCGAATGTGCTGGAGGTGGACGCCAGCATTGGTATGCAATGTAGTCGCACAACCATTTTACCGCTCTCTTACATTCCAGAGCATCTACAACAATTACAGTATTTTGATGTACGTTCCAAATATGCATGTTAGATGCGTTGATTTTTAACAGATATCGAACCTGTGAGTTTCCTCGCTGCGTGTAAAATTATTCGAAACAAGACAAAAATGTAATGATTCGTTATATATTTGTGTGTGTGTGTGTGTGTGTGTGTGTGTGTGTGTGTGTGTGTGTGTGTGTGTGTGTGTGTGGGCGCGCGCGCGCATGGTTACATTTGCATTAGGCTTACCTGTTTCGCGAATGCGTGTGCGTGCTAATCCTGACAGCATCTCAAGAGCCGCCAGAGAAATGTTCAAGTCAGTCTTCCATGATGAGATCAAGCGATGACAAACCAAGTACGTCGCTCGTACGAAAAGAGCATGGGCGGAGTCTGCAAGAACGTTCCCCTGTGTTTACTCGTTAAATTTATAAAATAATATTACGAATCTAGTATAAATCTTGTACGAACCAATACTAAAAAAATTACATGTAAATCTTAAGTAGAATAAATATATTTCTCCTCAAGAATGTAAAATGATAAAAACGATAAGCAGAAACGCAAATCACATTCTATGAATATCCTCGAGTGCGATTTTTATGAGCGTGTAGCAAGATAAACAATATTTGTATTTACCGAATGCAATACATTCCTCTTGAAGAGTTGCAATATCAGAGGCATCGCCAATTGATCGCTGATCACTGGATATACTTATTTGACTGGCTGAATCGCTGGTGACTATATTAAGCGATGATAAGACGGTACAATGGCGAAACGCACAACAGAACACAACTCGTAACAATAATGAAAAATTAACATTTCATATATAAAAGCACGTGTAAAGCTGATACGATGAGAGATGACATTAAAGCATTGATATAATTCGAATATTTGCGTCCTCGTATTCTCATTTACTCCCATTTATAAGTTGTTTGATAAATGTTAATGAGAAATTGTCGTATTAAATGAAAGAGCTGGGATATTGCTGATAGACCTTACTGATATTAGCGAATCATTATCACAGGCGTGTGATGTGTGCGCATCGAGAAACAATTTTAGACTTGATTAAATCATAGCGACAAGAATTATTGATTCTTGTAAAATTAACTTAAAATTCAGTCTGTGAAAAAAGATATCAGTTGCTTCTTTTAGTTTAAGATAGCATCGAAACAATCTTTTCCACCAAAAATTAGCGCCTGTAATCATGGTCGCTTAAAAATTTGAACACAAATAGGAGTTAATAATAGATAATTCAGAACAGTGCATTTAATTGAATGCAAGCTAATATTGTTTAGTATCAAAGACAAACCTGAAGATAGCAAGTTAGTCGTTGAATCATTAGCTACTGCGTCTGGTTGTGTGACCTGCTCGACTTCTTCCGCTGCCGCAGAATCTTGTACACTTAATAAAAGAGCCCCTAATGAGAATTATTCATATATTTATGTAAATTAACATTTCTTTTCGTTGATTTCTATCAGTAGTAATTCTTTGATTTACACAGTTTGTGATTAACTTACCCAGTAACATGTGCGTGTTCTGTGGATCAGTTTCCACTTGCAAAGCGTTTATGAGCAGATTCATGAGTCGCGATTTTAATTGTACAAACGTTGCAGGAATTTTCTCGGAAGAATTTGTGCCGGGAAATGTCGGGAGTTCTTTAATGACAAGATTCTGCAATAATAAAATATTCATACATCGACTCTTTCGATTGCGTAACTGTGCTGATAAATTTTTAACACAATGACAGCTGGTCAGTAAATTATACAATATAATAATAAGTGAAATAAAAATTGCATAGTACGAAAAATTGGCCTTCAAGCTCATGTTATTATTTTGATTTCAGGACGTCTCAAGATAAATTATATGATAGTTCTCCATGTGTTTACCTGAAAATGCAGGGGCAATGTTAACATCGATATTAATAGATGTATCGAAGCCCTTCTCAAGTCCGGCTTCGATACTACATTAGATTTCAGCTTCAAGTCTTTCTCCGGTAGAACCACTTCCAGGGCGGATAATACAGCCGGCACCAAAACTTGTATACCGTTCAGATCGAGACGAAATAAGTCAGCTGAATTTAACAGAATGCTTGCTAGTGTTTCGCCACATTCACGAGACTAAAAGTAAACGAAATGTTTATTTTCTTCTAAATCTATCTGTGAAAAAAAAACGAAAAACTCGTACTGGTACCTCGTCAACTTTAAGACCGTGATACATCGCCTGGTAAAATCTAGCCAGATACACAGGTAAGATCTCCTCGCCAGTTTTCTTGGCGCAAAAAATTCTACACAGAGCGCCCAAAGCCTCGGCTCTTCCGGACTCGTAACGATCTATACAGAGAGTCGCTGGTACATCGCTAACAGTTTCCTGTAATGAACTCGGCCCGTCCACGAGCACCGAAGATGGACGTTTTGAAGCACCCGAAGGTTCTATACACGTGACATGATTAAGATTAAGATTACAAATAAAATACTCTTTTATCATATATATATATATATATAGACATACTTACGTGGTAAACTTTGAGACCAGCCGTCGGTACCGATAAACGCCGCCTCGAATAGCCATTCGCCAAAAAGATGTAATATACTATTGCACTTGGGACGTCCTGGAGCTAAAGGAGGTCTGATGTCCTGACCGAGTGATGTCATAGCTGTAAATCATTAAACTGTCAATAAACAGGAACATGCTTGTACAAACTCATAGAAATGATATTACATGCAGTACTCGAAGCAGACGATGGTCCAGAATTGGATATTAGCATTGGCGGCGTACTAGACACACGGCTTGTAGTTAATCCGATTAACGACGCTTTTGGGATTCCTGAAAAATATTTAACGATAATAAATAAAATATCAAAATACAAGTTGATTAACTCTAAGACTGTCACAGTCGTTGCAAATGTAACTTATAGTAAAAATGCTTAACAATACAGGACGGTATAAAGAAAATATAATACAAAATAGGTGCTGTTACAGTATTCGTGACTTTAGACCTTTATAGAGAGAATAATCAATAAAACTGGTTGAGTAGAGATACATCAGCGAGAGAAAGTATCGCACTGAATACCCTTAGTGACTGCAGAAGGAGTGACACTGAAACTTTTGGCAAGTCTTCGCTGAGTTGGGGGTGTGGGGGAAGGCTGTGGCTGATCCTTGCCACTCGTCCTGTCCCATCCGACACCCCCGCTGCCGGCGCCGCTATTCCCCGATGTAATCGTCGACGCGCAACATTCTTCCCAGCAGCATGCCTGTGAAACTCCTAAAACATTCGCGACAATGTGCAACCATCACCAGACATGTGAACAAGCTGACAGTATGTGTGCAAGCCGTATAGATGAGACAGATTCTAGGAAATGTACATCAGATATCGCCTTGCTTCAGTGATAATTTGCAAGTTTATCACGAATAGTTTTTGAGATATATTACAAGTTTTCATACGTCATTCATGTTTAATCTGATCGAAAGCTTCGACTTACCGAGGAAAGCATCGACTTGACCTGCTATGCCTTTTATGGCTTTTAAAAATATTTGCGGCAAACTTTGCAAGCACGGATGTTGGCACGGATCTATGACGTTCGGACTGGCGATGGCATATTGCAGGAACGCTTGTGTCTGCGAGACAACGGCGGGTCTACATAGATCTACGGGATCGCCGATAGTACGCAGCAATCTATACCATGCTTGAGCCACTGCTTCATCCGACATAGTAGGCGGAACTAATTGCGTATCTTCCTCGCCTGTTGATATAAGATTTTGCATGTAATGTAAATTCGTCGCGAATAATGTCCCAATTAATCATTAAGAACAACAAAGAATACAGGACTTATTAAAAGTACATACTTATTTTTAATTCGGGAAACATTGGTCCGTACATGATTTGTAGCAATCGCGCTGTAAGAGCAAGACACACGCGATTCCACTGTTCTACTAAAGCTAATCTGTGACGCCATCGTAGACAAGATTCTCGTAATGTACGCCATAAAGGAGGTGAAGGAAAACTGCGTTCGCAAGAAACTAACCATACCTATGACAGAAAGAAGATTCTCTCATTCTCTCTACAAACATCAATGCTTTATTAGATGGATTTTATATATACCTCTAATAATACACCCAGCACTCTTTCGCATAGCTGTTCTCCGACATCTTCTCTAGTCGCTGGTGGTGCCAGAAGCGCATCATTAATACCAATGAGAAATAATAATAAACTTTCCCACGTTTCTCTTTCCAAAGTTGCCGGACCTCTCGCGATTTGTTGCAATGTCCTAAGTACTCGATGACACAGGACAGCTTGTCGATTGATCGTGTCTGCACCTGGAGAAATATTTATTTGAAAATTTAATATAGCAAGTAAATATATTAATGAGTTATTGTATGACAAAAATGTGAATTGATAGAAATTGATAGTATGTTAAGAGAAAATTATATTTAATACTACAAATTACCTAAATCCTGATATAAAAATGGCCAGACTTTGGGAAAGAAAATGAACATTACTATTAAAATGATCAGACAACAGATTTACAATAAATAAAACTAAAACTTACCTTCTCCTTTTCTTGGAACAAATAAATTGTGAAAATGGCTTATGATTTTTCTGGCATAAAAGTTTGAATCGTCTATGATTGGTCTGGGGACAGAAATCTTTGGTGTAGAGTATAAAGCGGACAGCCATTCGCAATATATGTTCACACAATCTCTGACGGTATCATGCTCAGCTAATGGTAGTGACAATCCGAAACATATCACTTCCATGCACCATTGAACCTCTTTATCAGTAGAGAGCGGACTAGGCTCTCCGATTTGTGTGATACCAAGATTTGCGGCAAGTTGACGTACTATGGACAAAGCGACTTCTTTGCCTGCGCCAGGAGGAAATTTTTCTAGTACACTTTGGCTTTCCTCCGAGCCTTGCTGGATCAGAGTGCTCAGTGAAGCCCATTCTGAATACATTCCTCCTTGGGAATCCTAAAAATATATTATACAGCTATTTAAGTTTTTTTTTCTATTTTTATAATAATAATAATTAATTATAAAAATACTAAGCACATAAAATTTCACAAGTAATAATTAAAATTTAAGTATAAAAATGATATAATTGCAAATAAAATGTAAAAATAGACATGCATTTGCATAAATATACTAATTGTGTGTCAGGTATGATTAGTTATTTATAAGAGATTACCTTGAGATTAACTCTGTTGAATACGCCTAAATTCATAGATTTAGATTACTATACGCCTATACGCCCTATGATTAAAACGGAGCTGCACAAGCGTTGAGCGTAGAAAGAAAACTTTCACTTCACATAGTCCATCTTTTCATGATTGACATGCATCATCATATTGTTGTTCTCTCTCAAAGAGATTGACATTTCAATATTCATGTATTTGACAGTTGTCAATGATCGCTTTTGATTACCACATTCCAGGGGGTCATACAACCACACACACCCACACACGCGCGCGCGCGCACACACACCACACACACATACATCCAAATACAAATTGATACAAATAGGTTATCCCTTTTGGCCGTGAATATGCAGATCATAGACATGATAAAAAGTTTCGATTACTTTAAAGAAATAAAATCGCTGCCCTCTAGAAGTCGTTCACCCAATTATAAAGCTACTTTAAGGCTAATATGTATTGATAAATTTTTTTTTCCAAATAACATAATGCATTTTTCGCAATCCTAGATAACATGCAAACTGTTAAATCACTATAAATGCCACATGTCGTGTGGTGCACTTCTAGTAATTTAATTTTTTAAGTTAGCTTAAAAAAGTACGCCATGTGCTTGAAAAAGTACGCCATATACTTCAGCGTCATTTTAGATCTTATATGAATTCGTCCAATCCTTATCGCGTGTCGAAAAAAATTACGTGCTGGCGATTTAGATAAAATAAAAGTGAGTTTTTTTTTAAGTTTTCACATTTTTCATATCAGGGAGAGTTGGGAAGATTAGGCAATCGATTCCCTGAAGATGGATTTTATTGATAGTTCGCCAACGACCATATTATCACAGTGTTTAGCAGTTTCTACAAAGTAGACGAAGCTACGCATAGCTCTATCTGCTGGCGAAGGCGACAAGTATCATAATTCTGCGCATTGTATGTATGTAATACTTGCTCTTTTTTTCATATATATGTACACACACGTGCGTGCGTGTGTGTGTGTGTTGTGTGTGTGTTGTGTGTATGTATCTAAATCCCGAAACGAAAAACATCGGCAGATGGCTCGAGATCTATGTTGATGATTAATAATCCTCAGTCTCGGAAATTGATGGTAGTAGAACGGCGGAAAAAAGGCGGAAGAACAGTAGCGGCGGCAGCAGTGGCAGTAAGTGGCGAGGGAAAACCACGAACGGTCAGCACGGCGCTCGAACAGGATCATTCGGTTTGTTAATCGAATTTGTTGTTTCGGCATCGGGAGCAAGCGAGAGACCGTCCGTTCGTGTGCGTCGAAGTAGTCGCGAGTCGGAACATGGCGTTTGTTTCTGCCGTTGCACATCCACGAAATATTGCCGTTCACTAGCTGAAAGCTCTATCGCCGATACGTGCGATAATCCGCGGATCCGAGGACGTCTCGTCGATGCTCGAGAAATTGATCTTGTCACGATATCCACGTCGAGAGCGCGCCTGATGCTCGATACGCGGCACGGAACAGGCAGCACGCGCTGGACGAGCATGAGGATAGATTGCATCGTTATCACCTGTAACTTTTGAGATGCCGAAGAAGACTCCCGAGACGAACACACAATGACGTCCCGCAGTTACACCAAGTCCTACAGCCGCAAGGTCAGCAGTGTAACGCCTGGCAGTATTCAGTTTGAGCTGTTTCGTGAGAACAGTAACCGACCTTCCGCTGCTAAATCAGCAGGCACTGTTGGCAAATGGGGAATAACATCCTTCACATCTATCAGGAGCACAAATATCAATGGTACGTGCTTATCAATGTATTTACATCAATTGTAACATAATTTCCTTTGCCTTAATTTTTTTTAATTTACATAACAATTTTACATGTTATTATTCCAAAACAAGAATGTTTATTAATACCTACATGTTATAGAGTACGCATATTAAATCTTTACAAAATTTTCATTTTATATGTATAAGTGTATGATGCTAAATTTGATATCCTGAAAATATGTTGGTACACTTAAAGTTTGCCTATGTTTGCACAAGAGAAAAAAGTTTAAAAATTTGAATCTAAAAATACCTTGTTACAATTAAAGTTTCCCCGTATTTCACAACAGTGATAATAAACTTTAAATTGCTAATTTATGAGTAACTTTTCCAATGATAATATAAAATTTTACTAATATTAATTTTAAGGAATTAACTTGTTAAATATCATATCAATAAATATTATATCATTGTTTTGACATATAAACATTGATTTGTAATTATTATTACAACAGTTGTTAAAATATCTTTTGTAATAGTTTAATTTTTATTACATATATGAAATATTTTTTGTTGTAAATCTCATCTCTTTATGACATCTTTATGAAAGTAGTACCTATAAAACCTATAATTTCTTTCTGTGATATAAAAATAAGAAAAATTGACAGGATCTATTTTTAGAAACTGACACGATTAATTGAACTTATATACCATGATGCAATCTTATGTTTTAACATTAAACAAGCGATACCATGTTTTATCAAATAATTTTACAAGTACAGTTATGAAATTATTGTATTTTATGCAATAACATTTATATACAAATGTATTTTGTCTTGTCGTATGCTACTAGAGAAATGAATGAATATGCAAAATAACCAAAAAAGATAAGCAAAAATTAATAGCAGTTTAAATTTATCGAGATAATTGTATATTTAATCACCATTAATTATTTTAAATATTTCTATTTAAAGATTACGTCATTAATTATTTTCAAAAGAGAATTTTATACTAATTTTAAAGATGTTATAATATCCAAAATACTATAATATTGAACGGACTTTGCTCTCATAGCAGAGAAATAAATAATCTAACAGCATTTTTATAAATATATTCAGTCAAAGTAATAGAAAATTATGCCATTTTCAGGAAGAAGAGATGATATACATAACACATTTGGTTCAAAGAGACTGAAACTCGATTACGGGAATCAGAATCGCGTAAGTTCCGGAAAGGATCCATTCTCCTTCGAAACTGATCCGGACAACAAGCCGGACTCTTCCCCGACAGTCGTCAAACCGAAGAAATTCTTCAAGAGTAGAAATGTCCCGCCTGTGGTGGAAGAATCTCGCCAGGACGTGGCAATTTACAGACAAGTACCTGATTTG